TCAGAACGGCAAGTTACAACCCTTTTCAAACTTCAGCCACTGAATATACATGCTGTCAAGATTCTTCAATAAGATAATAGCGACATTGGTTTTAAATAGATTCGGTCACCACCTAAAAATCTCACCAGCCCTTTTGGTTCACCGTTCAGTTATTGTCAACTTCATTTACTAAAAGCACAGTATGTTGAAGTTAGCTTATTTGTTTTCCCAGATAAAAGCAGCTTAATTAATCCAACGAACACATCTTGACAATACAAACATTGTCTAGTGGTTCAACAATTCACACAATTGTCTCACTACTCATGAGTTTATCCCCAGCATGTAGTATAAAAGTCATTGAAATTTCAAATTATATCTTTGTACAATCAGCTACTGCTTTCTTATACTCCCCAACTTCTTTGAAACATGAAGCCCTGCATGACAAAACTTCCGTAGTGCCTGCATTATCACCTGCTTTCTCAAGAAGGATCATAGCCCAGGAAAGCCACTTTATAGCGTCAGCAAATTGTCCCTGCTTGTAATTGTCCATCCCTTTGCTTTTTGCAGCAGAACCAGACATACCAGCAGGAAGAGAGGGAAGTCCTTCAAGCTCAGTGGTTGTATCACCCACATCATGGCCTCCCCCACCAAATTCAGAATCTAAGCCCCAATCATCAACTTCTGAAGAGGGCTGTCCTCCAAATCCTTCAGAAGCCACAGCAGCACTTTCAGTTGTGGCTGAGGAAGTTGAGAAGAACATGTCCAACGGATCGCCCCTAGAAGTTTGCGAGGGCTTTTGACTCAAAGACGCAGATCAATTAAGATTGATACCATTTTTGGTTGAACTACTTGATAGGAATGTAGAAGAGCTCGGTTTGGAACCACTCTGAAAATGACCAAAACCATCATCCCCTGTATCATTATCCTTTGCTTTGCTAGCTGAATTAAGACTACCAGATTGTTTGGATCCAAAACCAGCCAAAGAACCAAATGGATCTTTATTAGAACTCATTCCATTTCCAGCTACACCACCTCCAACATTCATAGTGCGCAACGAAGGACCACCAAGATTGGTACTCTTATTGAAACTCGTGCCACCATTACCATTGTAGCCGCTAGGATAGTTCCCCATATTCCCAGAAGATCCCCAACTTCCACTACTTTGAACTGTACCGCCAGTTTTAGGCAAAGAATCCGCCATGTTCTCCATAGAAAAAGGACTCTTGTTCGATGTGGTACCAGACGCCTTCGAAAGGCGTCCCATTTTTCAGGGGAACATTGCTACTACTCTTTGAACTCTGCCCTAAAGCAGAACCTACCAAATCCCCAAAGAGATTAGGATCTTTATTAATAGGTCCGATGCTCGATTTCGAAGCCGAAGGTTGAGTCGATCCCCAGCTCCTGCCGAATACATTCCCAACCATTGAAACGGGCCCATTCGGCAAGCCGGCTGAGCCGCCAGACTGGGCACCGGCTGGTGAGTCCATGATGGCTTGCTTGGTTGCCAAGCGGGTCTTGGTTGAGTAGAGGAAAATGTGGAGGAGGAAGAAGTGAAAAATGAATTGGACGAGGTATGGTTTTTCTGGTCGTTGAGAGATTTGGGTCGATTCGATCCGATCCCAAGATCAAAGTCGAAATTGAAGTTGTTCGAGCGGCTGAGGAACCTTTCTGTTGATTGGATTTGCCATAATTCGAATTCATTTCAGTAAACGTGCAAAAGAAAATTTGCAACCTATGGACGGGATCGGAAGAATAGAGGATCTACGTGTACCTGGTACAGGAAGATTCGTGATTGTAAATGGATTATCTGCAAATCTCTCTGTCGCGAGAAGGAGGTCCAGAATACTGGAGATGTCCATAAGTTGGCGGGGAAAGCCGAAGGGATGACTTCAATTTTGGAATTTTTATAGTGGCAAACAACAACTGAATTATGAATTTCTTTTCCATTGAACGTGGCATTACTCTTATTGAATTTTTAAATTAAATTGCAAAACTTACATTTATACACACCTGCAACCCGCCCTTTGATTTGGGAATAATATTTGGCTTATTATTGCGAATTGCAAAGAAAATAATATTAATTTAATGTATTGAAAGAGACTAATTACCCTTATAAAATATCTCTTCTTAATTTTTTTATAAATAACTTTTAATATATTTTATGAAAATCAAGAAAAATATTAAAACTCATTAATTTCATTTTAAAATTTTATAAGTTTTTACATATACTCTTAATAAAGACATAAAGAATTATTTTTAACAATTTCTTCTAGTATTTAATAAGGGATAAAGTAGCAAATTTGGCTATCAATTATTTTTTCAGGAGTATTGGGTAGCTTATATACGAAACTAACTTTTAACTTTTAAAAATGAAGCATTCAATAGTCCACCATTAATTTTACTCGATGAATTTTATGTGGGGCTCACAAATGACATGTGGTGGTACAAATTTAACCACGAATTATTTTTCAAGGAGCACTGGGTAGCTTCTACTATAAAAAATAAATTATCCAATACATTTCCATTAATTTTAACTAAACACTATTTAATTTTAGATTTATGAGACTCACAACGTGTCAATCTCTTTAATTTTCTTGCCTTTGTTCTTAGTTTCAACTCAGGAAGAAAATATTTAAAGAGTTTTTATTTAAAAATATTCACAATAACGATGCTAATGAAATAGAAAAATAATTTATGACTAAAATAATCTAAAATCAAGCTTCTCTTATATGTAGTAAAATCAAATTTTTACTTCAATGGCATCATCTTCATAAATGTCTTTAAATAAAAACTCTATAAACTTCTTCCTTTTAGATTAAGACTGAGAACAAAAGCAATAAGTTTGGAGAGATTGATGTGTCATGGGTTTTTATTGGTATGAAAATAAATAATATTTAGTAAAAACTGATAGGAATATATTAAATGATCCATTTTTTTATAATAGAAGTTACCTAGTGCTCTTTAGAAAATAGTTTGTGTTTAAATTTATACTTTACCCAAGTTGAAGTAAAGTGCCATGTGTCATTTGTGGGTAAAATTAATAATGGGCTATTAGATGTTTCATTTTTGAAAGTTAAAAATTTATTTTACACCATTTAATAGTATAGGCTACTCAATACTTATAAAAAATAGTTGATGGCTAAATTTATTATTTTACCTTTTAATGAGGGCATAAAGATAGTTGGTCAAAAAAAAAAAGAAAAATAAAGATGAATATAAAAAATAATAAAATATTTTATATAAATTAATCTTTTTCCTTCCCTAAAAATAAACCGAAGGAGTACTTTTTGAAAAAATTCATCAAATATAATTTACAATTTTAATTTTTTAAAATTTTTAAAAATATCATTCATTAATAAAAATGAAGACAATAAATGAATTTGGAGAGTAAAATAGTAAAGATATGGTCCAAATTTTTAGGGATATGTAGCTCAACAATGGCAGATTCGTCGTGTTGTCTCAATGATCAATGAAGAATGGCAGGTGCCGGTCAAGCATGAGCAAGGTACGTAAAACCGGACCGGTTATTAAACCGGTCATGGCATTGGGTCACGGGTTAGTAGTTCAATCGGGGTTGAACCAGGGGTTGAATCGGTGGCAAACCGGTTATGATTAAAATAATATAATTTAAATAAAAAGACATTAATTATAAAAATATTCAACCAAATCTAACCACTCAAAAGTCTAACAATAATAAAATTCTATATTTTTGGACTTAGCATGCTCTATCTCTAATTTTTCATTTTTTGACTTCAATTTCACTTTTTTTGTTATCCTTTTTCCGAACTCAGAGCTCTGAAAAATTAAAAATGAAAAAAAATCAAAAACGACGTCGTTTTGGGGTAAAAGTCTGAAAAAAATATTAACCCGGTTAACCCAGTCAACCCACCGGGTTATCCGGGTTATACCGGGTTGACTGGGTTACACCGGTTTACTCCCTCACTGGGTTAAGAGCAAACCCAGACCGGACAGGGGACCAGTTCACCGGTTTTCGGGTTGACCCGACCGGTCCGATTCGGTTTTCAATACCATGAGCATGAGTAAAATTAATCTATTCTCTATTTCTTATAAATAGAACTAAAAAAGTATATCCTAGATCACCTTAAAAAAAAAAAAATCAATTTTCTCTAATTTCTTGATAGCAGCACAACAACAGATAAATAGCAGACCAAGCGCTTTTTTTTTTTTGTTGGGTAACGCCATGTGATGGGCGCCGTTTGAGCTTCTGTGGGGATGTCCCTCATGTGCACGGTGCTCCGTTTTGTCTTTTCTTTTATTTATTAAACATGATTTTTTTTTGGTCATGGGCAGGAAGTTGTATATTTTCAGAAAATTAAATTATAAAATAACATTAATATTTTTTATTTGCTTTTATGCTCTTCTAACATTTCACTAAATGACTATAGTTCAAAGACACTGAATAACACACTTTAACAACAAAATAAGACATCAACTATCATAAGTTTTTCTGTATATGTAATTACTTTGATCAGATGTAAATAAATTCACACACAAAAGTTCTAAAGATATTGGTCCAAGACAAAATTAACAAAGGATCTTGAAGAACAACTAATGTTATATCCAAAATATATTTGACAACATTAAAAATGAACTATAATTCTACCTTACACAAAATTAATCACAACTATGTCATTCCCATTCATCATTTATTCAGTAGGTTGCAAATAAATGCAATCCAACTAAAGACCCAACTTAGTTTAAAAAAAAAAAAACTAAATAACACATTAATATTATTGATCTCAAATACATAGTATGTGACAACAATGATAGTTTACAGTATCATGTATTCTATAAAAAAATAATTTTGAAAACATACATAAACAAATCTAATTAGATGATATCTCAACGTGAACTTCTGTTCTCGTTGAGAGCATAGTGTCCATTAAAGCTTATTAGTCAAACCTTGAAAGAGGTCACATTTAGAGGTTTGAAAAAAGTATAGCATACATTAGAGAGAAAACGAGTCAAAGCTTAGTATCATAAAGATGATAGAATAATAATTTCGAAGAGAATAAAAGCATGATTATTGCATTATGTATTTGTAGCAATTCTACACAAATATAATTGAAAGCCAAACACGTTCATTTGAAGTCTCGGCTATGTATATTAATTTGCTTTTATTGCAAATTTAGCATAAGTGATAGGGGAATTGAGATAATTTCCAATACATATCCCAAAACATGTCAAGACTTTACCCCAAGGTGACCTCAAGTAATTTTACTACATACTACGTTACTTCTCAAACTTCAACACTCATGTTTTCACCCTTAAGAGTGAATCAAAAGAACTGTCTGCATTTCATTCTCATTCTACTGCTATCAATTATAATTGTCAGATATCTGAATTGCATATCAAAACAAAACTGATAAGCCTTTACGTCCACGTTTTGTACTTGAATCAATCTTCCGAGTACATATAATTTTTTATTTATCATGCCGCCAAATATCATCACTAAATGAATGTCCAGTGAACTCAAACCTTAGCTTTCTCAGACTAGCGAACTTGTTTCACATGTATAGAAATTTCTCAAGCATTGCTACTCAGCTATTGTTCAGATTTGCTTGGGTTGCTCCACTTGATGCTGAGTTTTGGCTATCCATTGGGCTTGATTGCTGCAGGGGTACTCCCTGACCTTGGCTCAGATTCTGTAAATGGGCAGGCTCTCTCTGATCAACCCGCATTGTTTCCCTGCGCCGATCATACCTCGGCCGAGGCCTGTTCCTTGTTGTTTGCCTTTCACTATATCTGTACTGTGGCCGAGGGATTACTTTCCCGTCAATAAATAAATCACCTGGAGTCCAACACACAGTGATCGATCAAGGGAGGGGAACAGGCATACACAAATATTAATCAATGCCAAAATTTCAGGCTCATGCACTCACCTCCATAATCTTTGTTGGGAACATCAATATACGAATCCGGCAACACCCAAAGAACACCAGGTAATCCTATCAGGGAAGGTTAAAAAAAAAAAACACACACACAAAAATCAAGCATTACTATCAAGACTTAGGTGCAGTTCCTTTGGCATTCGTTATAACATTCATCAATTCGATAACCTAGAGCAATGAACTTCAGATATTTTTATCCAACCAAATTATCCAAGATGACACGCATATAAACAAGCTGTCAATAGCTCAAAAGTCACTGCTTTGACCAGCAAACTTTTATCATACGAAAGTTGATAGCCTCTGATAGTCTGATATGAAATGGACTTGTGTCAATAATGAAACCAAGATTTCAAAAAATAGTCCTAGTAATTAAAGCACCAAACCAGAAAGAACTACCTCGACATTGGATTATAAAATTATCAAAACTATAATTTCATTGAAGCATAAAAAATTAAATTCACTCTAAGACTTTGATAACTCAGGTACAGCTGGGATAAACTATTTCCGTGGAGCAGCAAAAAACACCAACAGAAATAAAGGACGCAGAGGAAAGAGCCTCAATTTTTATAAACCAAAGACCACGATTACCTTTAACCTTGTAAGAAAGCTCTTCGGAAATCAGGGCACCAAAACCAGTATACGTGGCAGTAGAAACTGAGTATATTTTCTTTTTGGCCTCCTCCTCACTGTACCCAGCCAAACAAGTCCTCATGAGAAGAAAAGCCCCAGAAGAACTAAGGTCCCATTAGAATAGGAAGAGCGAATTTGTTTACCTTCCTACGACCTGGGCTAGGGTTTTGACATATGCGTTGATCATTTCCTCGTCAGTGGGTTTGGGATTATCGGGAAACTCCATGACAATGAGCCAGTGCTCGTAGTCGCAGCCATCGAGAAGAATCGTCTCTTTAGGAGGGCGGTTGCTCCAGTTCGGCGACGGGTCGTTCAAGGGCGAGTAACCCGACCCGGAAGTTTTTAATCGATTTGGAACCAGAAGGGCTTGTCTGGCGGCGAGCAAGGCCAGTGGGAAACGAGAGCGACAAACAGTTGTACGAGAAGACGAAGAATGAGAGAGAGCTCGAATGAGGGAAGATGCTAAGATGCGCCGGACAAAGTGCGCCATTCGTCACCAGAATATCGCCGACCAGCGAGCTATCAAATTTGTCAGTCCATCGGGTTTAAGACCTTGGGTGTACAAAATCGCAGAGAAAGGCAATATGAACGACGACGCCGTTTTGAAACGTTGTTTTGGAGCAAGTTAGAACTTAGGAGTCCAAAACTCCAAATAGTGAGGGAATTAACGATTTCTTTCTTTCTTTATTTTTTTTAATATTACATATTTTTTTTATTAAAAAATATAACTTTTAATAAAATATTACTTATCTTTAAATTAACCTCATTTTTTTATATTGATCTTTATTTAATAAATTATTTTACCCTAAAATAAATATAAAATAATTTATTTAATAAAAACGCTTTTAAAAACAAAGCAATAATTATATTTTAAAAAATTAAAAATATTTTTATAAAATATTTAAATTTTTTAAAAATATATTAAATATTTAATTCTTCAAAAAATACATTATATTTTTAATGAAAAGAGTAATTAACAATATTTATTTACTAAATTTCTTCCTAATTCCTGTAGTAATATGATTGAGAAATGAATTGTTACATAAGTTCAATTTAAATTTTTTATAAAAGCATTTTTAACTTTTTTTTTTTTGCCAAAAAGCATTTATCGCAATTAAGAACCTCAAATTATTGAAATTTTAATCAAAGGTCTTCATCATTTAATCATTTATTCTTGGTAGAAACTCCAAAATCCTAAGGTCCACGAGTTTTCAAATAAACAACAAGTAGGTTAACTTGTGCTTATTTGGAGAGGTTAGAGCTAAAAAAAAAAATGCAGATAGAGCTTAGATACAATCTGAAGGCTCGCGCAAGCTGGCCAATCGTTATATATATATATATATAAAATAAAATGAAGCTGAAAAACTAATGCAAAATAAAGTAACAGAAGGGACGTTGAACAAGCGATGCCCCATACAGCCACAGTTTCAGCACGTCCAAAAATAATTGTGCTCCGAATTAATAGGCCTTTCAGAACTAAGAATTAAGAAATTTTAAACCATCAATGCCACCCCTTGTAACAAAGCTGTACGTTTCGAAATCTTGCAGTACTGTGGAATTCAGATTGATGCCAACCATCTGCACATTCTCACAAGGAACATCTGAGCTGCACAGCAGAGTTACTGCAAACTTGGTGCTGTAAGTTCCACTGATGTTCTTGAACTTCATGTCCCTCAGCTTCACTCCGGATGGCTGTAACTCAAAACAAGAAACAATCAAATCATTAACAAAATCCGAAAAAAAAAAACAGCCTTTATCTGTGTGTGCTTCTTAATTGCTCACCTTCATAGTCTTGCAGGTCCGTGAGGGGCAGTATTCTTGGTCTACTATTATTGGGTTTGAGACATTAATCATGGCTATGTCCTCAAACACTAAATTTGAAGCCTGACCATGTGGAGCCCCTGGCCAGGTTTTCACTCTCACACCATTCTGAGTACCATTGATTGTACAGTTGGAAACATGAACCCCATCAACGTCCATCTCATCTGGGTATTTTCCCAGGCTTCCCACACTGTTCAAAACAGAAAATTGAACTTCTCATTTATGTCAACACAAACACTTGTAGGTGTGTTAGATTTGTGTCCAACATTATTATGATAAAATATGAATTAGAACCTGATTCCATGGCCTGGACCGCAATGCACAAATGAGACAGATAAGTTGGTGGTGCCTGGTCCAATGGAGACACAGTCATCTCCAACTCCAATTATTGAGGAGGTGATGCTGATGGTAGAGGAGAGACTAATGTGGATTCCATCAGTGTTCGGGCTGTCAGCAGGTGCTTTGATGTTTATGTTTGACACATTCATGTTGTCACACTTGTAGATCACAACATGGAAGAACTTGCTATTCAGCAAACTTATGCTGCTCACTGTCCCATGTGAAACATTCATGAACCTTAGACTCTGCAGAGCCCAAAATTGTTCGGTTAGTTTGAAAATATAGCATTTGATAGGTGCAATTCTTTCAATATTGTTTTAGCAATATTAGCATATACGTATCTCTTCTTACCTTGAAGTTGCAATGGAACTTACTTAAGAACCTCTGAACAAATAAACAGTATAAACAAATACAAGAATACAAAAAACACATTAAATTGGAGTTAAACTGATGAAAGAATGAAATTTGGGACTCACACTAGGGAGATTGAAGCAATGCTTGTGCTTGTGGCAAGCATTCTTTGACCATGATTCAGCACCTTGACCATCCAACACTGCCATGCTGTTGATTCCAGTAAGATTGATGCCATTCAATCCTCTGAGCACAATCCAATCAGAAGATTGGAAGGAATTGAAGCTGCTTGGAGCCTTTAGGGTCCCACCGATCTCTATCTTTGGGGACTCATTATTGCGGCAGGGCCCTGAAAATGAGACTGGGCCAACCAAGAATGTTCCTTCTGGAATTAACAACACTGAGTTTCCTGCAGCTGAGCATGCATCCTCCCAAGCTGCTAAGAATGCCTATTATATTTATAAAAAAACTTCAATCAATATCAATATAAAATATAAAATATAAAATCGACAGCTGTGAATAGTAAGACTCATTCTTCACATTTAGTCCACCCGGAGGAGTTAATTTGTTTGTGCATCTTTACAGGTTTACGGTAGAGAAATGTTGATTGAACCTGATGTTTGGCCTTAAATTTGTGATTGAAGCTTAACTGATATATGATGAAAGAAAATATTTGATTGAAATGGCTCGCTAGCTAGCCTTAGTTTTACCATCAAAATCTCACTTTTAGAAAGAAGATCTTCACTTTTAGGTATTATAATCTCACTTTTCATTTGCTTTACCATCAAAATTTGACGACCAGTCCTATCACTTTTCTAGTTTGTGAAGAAAACTCCCTGTCATTAATTAATCGAATATTTTACTAGTAGAAATGTGATCAAATCCCAGCTGGACTTTTTTTTTTGGTCAAACCCCTTTCCAATAGATTAAATAATGAAACCTGAACTCATGTCGACCCATAACCAACGTCTCAGGTGCAAGACAATAACTTACAGAGCTACTTTCTGTCTTCCCATCAGAATCTGCTCCGTATTTTGTGACATCAAAATATCTCACTGCTCTTGAATTCTGGGCAGGTGATTCATCCACAGGTTCAGGAACTGGAGCCATTGCCATGCCAATTCTAGAAGTGGCTGCATATGCTACTACTGCTATACTTATGCTTAATGCTACTCTCTCCATTTTTAGCAGATTCGCTGAAACTATGACTTCTCAGATCTTAATTGAGTTTAAGAATAGCACCAACTTCTTATCCTGTGATATTTAATCTTGAGTTTCTTGAACTACAGCCATTAATCTTGTTACTCTATATTAATTTTTGAACGCTTACCTATCTTTCTGGGGGGAGTTTCTTTCTAGTTGTAACAGTTTAACTAGCATTCAAGAGTTATATTTTCAATATCATAAAGTTCATTTAGTATCCAGCGATCTGTTAAATTTCATCAATATAGCTCTTTGGGTAATGTGATTCCATTGTTCTCTCATTACTGAGCGAAGTTGCTGTTTGAGAATAGAAACAAGAAAGATAAAACTTGCATGTCATTTCTATAAAAGACCTGGAGGTTCACCCAACTTGCGTTAAACCTTTGAGGAATTAATTTATTTAAAATACTACAAGAACTGGCCTTTGATTATATCTAATTCATATTTCTTACTTCACATTGTCTGACATGAGAAAACTTCAAGGTTCTTATGCCACTTTTAACCTAGGTCATATTAAGTATGTCATATGAAACATAAAAAGGGATGTTTGCCACTTGAAGATGGCCATTACTCACCGCAGCATACTTAACCTTCGTTTCCTTAAAGAGACTTACTGACATGCAACCTTGAGATTTATCTGACCAAATAAATATACCATACAGGAAACCGAAGAGGTGTAAAATAATCTTTTAAGCGAATCAATTAAGATGCCATAGGACTGAAGACTTGTTCATGTACATATTAACTGATCAACTGCCACAAATGAATTATTCAATAATTACTTTGTCAAGCCTCCTTCAGTTTTTGAAGTTATGGTCCTCTCATCTACTTAGCATGCTTACTAAGCATTACTTAGATTTGTACCCAAACTATATGGAATTTTTCCAAACTTACAACGTTACAAGTACAAATATAAAGGAAAAGTCCATCCTAAAAAACTAGCTTGTTAAATTTATAAACCTCACCCCACTTGTGAGATCCCCAATAAGGGGCTCATAAAAATGCCACCTTGTTTGAGAGCTGACATTTTTAAAAGGTCAACTCAATGGCACTTTACTCAGCCTTTTGTCAGTTAGAACTCTTTGTGGATTGTCCTTTCCATGAGATCAGACTCTCAATGAAAACACCAAATGTTATGGGCACAAGTTGTGAAGCCTTAACAGCAACTTCCTTCCAAATATGTACATTGAAGTTGGCTATACATTCAAATCCTGGGTTGAAGTTTATAGTATAAATGAACTTAGCTGTTGAAGTTGGTTTTTCTTAATTGGTTTTAAGGGAGTTCATCATTATAATCGCCTAGGGAGAATATACAACCAAAGCAAAATCCAAAACTATCCCTAATGCTTCACAGTATAATAATAAAAAGTTATACCAATAAATCGAAAGAATAGGACATTTTCCCCATTTCATCATATAGAATCGACACATTTTTGAGATAGGCATTATCTGTACTGTACTGGTGCTGCTACAAGAATAAGCTCCCGTTGACCCCCCCAATCTGTCCCTCATTCCCTTCCTCGCTATATGATAATAAGAAGATTGGCCTAATTATTAAGAACAAGGCAATGGGGTATTTATGCCGACATAGGAGGGTTTGACACTGACACATCTGCTGGTGACAGGTTTGCCTCCCATCTTAAGGTCAATGTTAGAAAGCACAACGTTTTGGCATGGGAACAGTTCGCTGCACCTTAAGTCCACTCCGATTGGTGATGATGATGTACCCCTTATATTTGAAAAATGTATGTTGCTCAGCTTCACCAATGATGGCTGTACAATCAAACATAAACACTCAGATTTTAGCCTTCTTTACTTTCATTCTTGATCAGGAAAGTGAGACTGATTGGATTCTAAGACTACTCGCTGTTGTAAGTGAGAATAAAAAGGATCACATGATTGTGGAGCTGAAACTTCCAGGGAATAATTTAATTACCTTGGCTTTGCAGTTTTCAGGATCGCATTGGTACTGTTCATCAATGATAATGGGGTTTTTAACATTGTTCATTGCAATGCCAGAGAAGAATATGGACGAAGCCGCTCCAGGATACTTATCCGGCCATGCTTTGAGTCTCAGACCATTGGTTGTACCCACCAAGGTGCTGTCCTGCACTTGAATGTTGCTCACCTCCAGCTCATCCTCATACCCCAAGGCTACCAATACTGTGTCAGCGAAAGACAATCAGAAACAAGCACTATCCATGAACTAGTCCTATTGAAAGAATTTACCAACAGTTTATTGAAACAGCATGTTGTTATTATTACCTGATGCCATGTCCAGGGCCGCAGGTGAGTCTGTTGATGGCGACATTCTTGACTCCTTGAATGATAGAAACACAGTCATCTCCTGTTCCAATGGTATTCCTGGAGGCAATGATATTGATGGAGTGGCTTATATGAATGCCATCGGTGTTGGGGCTATCATCGGGTGCAATCAGCTTAACTTTCCGTACTCTGATGTTTGCAGAGTTTTGTGATGAAGATGTGAAAGCCTTTGGAGTTCGAAGACTTGATGTTCTGTATCAGTCCATTAGTCACGTTGTTGAAGAATATGCTCTGCAATACCCATCTCTTCCATCAATATCAAATTATCAAATCTATGTCAAGTCACAATACTATTTTATGAACCGTGAAGAGAACTTACGCTGGGAGTCTGACGCATGTACTGCCAGAGTTTTTGTCACAGTCGACGTTGAATTCCCAGAAAGACTTGCCCTGACCGTCGAAGGTACCGCCACCAATGAGTTTGATGCCAACGGAGGTTTTCGAACATGAAGCCATTCGCCATTCTCATACACAGATGGATCTGTGGAAGCAAAACGGTTCCTTCAACTTGAACTG